GTAAATTTCATTATTTCTGCTATTTGAATCTGAAATTTCATGGTGTTGTAATTCTGGGGGTCCTGACCCAAAAAGGAGTTGTGCGGGGGGGTTGCAGCACGGCTAGCCTTACTTCTGTGCTGCTACTGGTGGTGGCACTACCTTCAGAGCTGGGCAGCGGGAGAGTGGGGGCTGCTGGGCGGGAGCCCATCTCTGGAGGCAGAGCAGCAGCAGCACAGAAGTAAGGGTGGCATGGTATGGTATTACCACCCTTACTTCTGCACTGCTGCTATCAGGGCGCTGCCTTCAGAGCTGGACGCCTGGCCAACAGCTGCCACTCTCCAACTTGAAGGCAGTGCAAACGTAAGGGTGGCAGTACTGCAACCCCCCTAAAATAACCTTACGACCCTCCTTCAGCTCCTTTTTGGGTCAGGACCCCTAACTTGAGAGATGCTGGTCTCCTTTGCGAAGTTTGTACAGTATAGGGTAAAAGCACAGAAAAGACCAGATTTCACAGTCCATGACGTGTTTTTCATGGCCCTGAATTTGGTAGGGCCCTACTGATAGAACGTTACAACATACGGAAAATAATCTTCCCACCTGGCATTTGGGATCCCTCAGCATTTTGAAATAAGTTCTTCCGAACTCAGGAGGCAAAGGACAATATTCTAAACTTACTGCTTCTTGAGGTTACATTAATTCTATTTTTATACACTCTCACTTGTAGTAAGGGAGAACCCTGTTAATAGAAAACGTAGTAGATTTTTTTCATTAAGGGAACTGCAGAAATCCAGCACACCTTTGAAATCTGAATATCACTTAGATAGTTCCATCATTTGCATGAACTTATTCAAAGTGCTATTACAGAATAATTGTGTAACAATGTTTCTCTTCCACTGTACACGTTTTTCCTACATGAGAATGGGTTCTCACCAATACTTCCGAAGTACCACTGACTTAATGATTTGGTGAAACTTCCCTTTCTTTGTTCTCAAATTATTAAACCTCTCTAGTACTGTACATTATTAGACAGTCAAGTGAGTACATTAATTCACTTCTTTCTGTGCAGGGATGAGGGACACTAAAGGAAAAGGAGGAAAGAATTCGTTTGCAGCATGCTTTAGAGACAGTAGCTATGGATGTTACAAATGAACATTCCACTTAGACATAGTTTTGCTATACAGAGGTATAATGCTAGTTTCAAGTATAATTCCCTGCAAAATTAATAGAAGTGGACATCATTAGTTTCCTTCTCCTTTGTTGATATTTTAATATTGGCATCAAATTTTGGCACTTGCATTCTTGCTAATTCATGGTATAGTTACTGAAAATAGGACCAAAATTCAAAGAATAATTAAATGCCACAGTTTTTGAGTTTTATTTTTTTTAAGCCTGATTCAGCAAGGGACTTACTTACATGCCTAACTTTAAACATATGGAACCATTTATGTGCTTAAAGTTAGATGTATGTAAATACCTTGTTGATTCTGGGTCTTGGTACGGAATTGTATTTGTGTTCCATCAGAGTGCTAATTATTAGAATAACTGTTTCTCAGGGTTTTAATATTTCCACACTATATAACCTCTTTCCTTCCTGTTCCCATCATTTTAGCTCTTCGGAGCTTGTTTTTTTTGGGGAGGAGGGGGCTTATATTTATATGGTTGTCCTGGATCACCACCAATCTAACGCTAGAATTTATAGAATTGAAGGATTGATAGAGCAGGAACTCCGTGTTCAATTAAGTGAACAAATGCCTTTTGAGATAGCTAGAAGAGAACATGCAACTACTTGGGTTAAAAGAAAAGGAGTACTTGTGGCTAACAAATTTGTTAGTCTCTAAGGTGCCACAAGTACTCATTTTCTTTTTGCGAATACAGACTAACACGGCTGCTACTCTGATACTTGGGTTAAGTGATTCAGTGTAGTAGTTCTACAGGCTATGATTTAAAGAAACCCAGAATGTGTATTTTTAAAACCACTCAAGTCTAGCAGGACAGTGTTCTGCCACAAATACCATATCTTAACTGATCAGAAAATCTTATCTTTTGCCAGTTACTATCAGCTGCCAGCTCTAACCATATAGTAACAATAATATTTCTCTACAGCATTCCTGCCCTCCCAGCTCTATCATGTCTGGCATTCAATGTGATGGAACTAAAAGGGATTCCCATGTACAATAAACTTAATCTGTAAGCTTGTTTATTGACATCAGATGAGAGATGCAATTCTACAAGAGAGACATTTGGAGAAGTCTCTTCATAAGCTTTGAGATGATGTTTTCCATATGTGGAAATTCAACAATCTTGACGGGCATTTTAAAGTGTTTCCCATATTGAAATGTCACAGGGGCTTTGCGAAAAATAAATTTGACCCTGGTATAAAGATAGGTGAACTTAGAATAGGAGAAAATAAACTGTTGTAATGGTGAATAATAGCTGTATGTAATTTCAGCTGTAGAATATAGAGCACTTACATTGTTTTAATTAAAATGTGTCATTAGTGAAAAGAAAGCAACCAATTAAACATATAGAGGTAGTCTCATGTATCATTGGAACCAAACAGGTAATATGTTTTTGCTTCTTGCGAGGTATCAAAGTTTAGTGTGGGTAAATTTAGCTGTGGATTTTTTTTATATATATATAATCAGGAGATAGAAATAGAAGACAGAACTGATTTTTCCCCCCTCACCATTGTATGATTGTGCCATCCTCCAGCTACGAAATACTGGTCATGATAATCTAGCAGTTTTATTTTTTCACAATTCTTGGTGTAGCCTGTCTGAAGCTGAGGCTTCAGTGAACGATCGTATGCATCATGAAACTATCTGTACAGAGTTGATGCTAACTGGTATCATTGTGGCAGTTACAGAAGAAAGGCCAAGGATTGTCTTGACTGAGCATTAATGCTGAATTACCTGTCAGCCATAGGTGTGATCCATGGAGGTTTTGTTTGAGACTGGGCAGGGGAGAGGCAGTTTTCTCTACAAATGTATGTCCAAGGAATATGCTGTGGATAAATAAAAATTACTTTCTCCAAGACAGTCAATTTGATCATGTGAACCTGAAACTTTTTGAAATACTCCAAAAAAAGATCCATCCATGTTATTAAAAATGTTTTGCTCTCTAAGGCGTCTCATAATGAAGTCATACAATACTTGAGTACTAAATAGAGTTGGTCAAAGGTTTTCATGCTGGAAGTCGCCCTCTCCCTCCTTGGAAAATACAAGTTCATTAAAATTTATTTTTATATTTCTAATTGGTTAGAAACTTTTCATGGGAAAACTAAAATATTTCTACAAAATAATTCAAATAAATGTTTTTAATTAAGAAACTTCTCACAAAAAGAGTTTCTAGTTTTGACCAGCTGTCATACTAAACCTTAAAAAATGTCCACTAATTTTGGAGACCCCTGTTGAAACCCCTAAACCTTGAATCCATTAGAGCATTTTGTAACCTACTTTCCAGTAACAGCACTAACAATGAAAGTTCTGGGGTAGACAAGCTTCAGGCATTTTTATCAACTTGTCATGAAAAATCTGCTCTAAGCAGGCTTTTTGGTGATATGGTTGAAAATGGCTCAGAGCAGGTTTTCATGATACAGTGAAAACACCCCGAGTCTTGACTACACAAGCACATAAACTTGCTAGAAGAAGTACAGCTGCTAGTAAGTGAACCCTAATTGAAGCCCCCATCACTTTTGGTAGCCAGGCCATGGGTCTGTCCAGTTGGGCATCCTGTGGTGGGGTATTTAAACACCACACTGGAGAGCAGGGGATTAAGGACCAGCTTTGGTCCCACCCAGACTCGCCTGCACAAGCTGGAGGCAGGGCTTTAAAAAGAGGAGTGGAGCAGCTCAGAGGCAGGGTGGAAGGGAGCAGGCAGCTGCTCTGAAGGGAAAGTAGTGCTCAGGAACTCATTGCCCAGACCTGACAACACAGACCTGTGCAAATCTACAAAGAAGAGTCAGGTGACTGAGTGTGCAGGTCAGAGACTAGATTGAAGTGATTTATTCTGTGAAGCTAAAGATGACTGGGGTAGGAAGTGGTCCGGAAGTGGGGGGGAGGAGGGGAGGAGGAGGAGGAGGGCTGCATAGTACCCCAAGGTGCTGAGTGGAGCTGCCTACCATTGGGCCCTGGACTGGAGCCTAGTGAAAAGGGTGGGCCCAAGAGGACATTACAACAAGAGCCTTCATGTACAGTGAGAGGCCATCTGGAAAAGACGTTGACTGTTCAAGAGCCCAGTCCCCAAGATCCCCATTCTAAAGGGGAGGACTGGAAATCCTTGGGGTGGAAGCACTGAAGGACATGACTGTGTTTCAATGGAGAGACAACTTGCCAACTTAGTCCTGACCACTAGGCATCGCTGTCGGTGGATGGGCACCATCTCCTCACTCAAAATAAGTGGACACTTCAAATTTAGAACTTGGTCTTCAGGCTCACACTGTACTCAGCCATATGTGTGCCTCAGAAAATACTACCATACATCTTCATGTTATTGGCTTACTTTGATCAATAATTTCTGCAGTTATTTTCTGCATTGGTGTTAAAAACATGGCTTAATTTTTTTGGTTGATACGAAAGCTCTTAAATCTTGTTAATCTGTGAATTGCTGCTTTTATAGTACAAAGTCCAACAGTGTTAGCTTGATGAGCATGCATCCTTTTCTTTTTTCACTCTTCCAGGAAATATTGTGTGTAATTTTTTTTTCCATCTGTTGATCTGTTTTCATTGGACAATTCCATTATCAAGGACATATAAAACTGATTGGTGGCCTTGCCTTTCTCAGTGAAGTTAGTGTGGGACAAATAGGTTTGATACAGAATTGCTTACTTCTTCTGATCCAGTTGTTAACCCAGCTTACCTGGTGATGTCTGAAATTTGTATTTATAGATGGAAATGAAAAATATGGACTATGCCTGTAGAATGCATGATGTGGTTTTTTTTATTAAACTGCAGGTTAGCCTAGTCTATGCTTTGTGATCTGGTAAAATACTTCCACCAATGTTTGCTGCTACTCCTTAGGGACACAGCAGGCCAGGAGAGATTCAACAGCATTACCTCAGCTTATTACAGAAGTGCCAAGGGAATCATATTGGTGTATGATATCACCAAGAAGGAGACGTTTGAGGATTTACCAAAATGGATGAAAATGATTGATAAGGTAGGCTCCAACTTCTCTGAAAATAGAAGATACAATATATGTAATGCTTTATGAAAGGGACACTATTAAATTACATTTTTACAGTGTGGTTTTGTAATAAACCCTTAGAAGACTAAAGACTTAAATTCTTTTGCTATAGAGTTCCACTTCATTCTTTTAGCAAGCATTTAATTTGTGTGCTTATTCTTATTCTTCTGCTGACTTCTGTGAACTAAACTTGCTGTCATCAGTGTTGTCAGAAATATGCAAAGATTTTGGGCACCCAGCTGTGCACTGGAAAACCATGCGTTCCATTTACCTTCTTTGCATTAAGACTACAATAGTCCTCCTATGGGAAACATAGGTATATTTCTCATGCAGTATTATGGAATGTGTTTAGAAGCAGATATTATCTCAAGGATATGTATCCTTATTTCTGGTTGTATAGAGCTTTGATGATACAGAACTCATGCAGGTACATAAGTATTAGTGACACAACTGATTTTACCAACAGTGTAAAAATCTTACGTTTGTGGATGTAGTTAACTAGAAATACCATATTATTCTGTATTCAGTATGCCTCAGAAGATGCAGAGCTTCTACTGGTTGGAAATAAGTTGGACTGTGAAGCTGACAGAGAGATTACTCGACAGCAGGGAGAAAAGGTAAGAGCAGGTGGAATCAAATCATTAACATCCTTTAGTGATGGTGAAAGAAGGTGGTTGTGGGCTTATATTGGAATTGTGAAGAATGTACAGCTGTAGGTTTGGGCTGTGCTGACTCTGAGATGAAATCTAATGATGGCTGAAATTCTAAGCCAGGCAAGCACTGAGTGGAAGCACATTGCCCCTTGAAAGATACGTGACTATTTGAGGGGAGAGAGCGAAGTTAATTAGGTAAAAAAGGAGAAACCTTTTTTTCTAGCCTAGTATTTGATTACAAATAACAGTTGTACTGCCTTTGCTATAAACAAATACCTACAGCTTTGATGTTGCATGTATGATACTACTCTCTGTCATACCCTTAGTTATAGAAGATATACAGTGTTTTAAGCATACATTATTCTACCAAAATCTGTTTTAAGCTTATACTATGTATTACAGAACATGCCCGGGTATATTTCTTTAATGTAAGGAATATCATCTTGCCCTAAAGAAACAGAGGAAATTAGAAGTTACTAACTTGATCCTCAGACCCCCAAAGTAGCATAAAGTGTTGGAAAGCTTCTCTGAGAAATCAGCTGAAGATTCCCCTCACATCCTCAGCTGGTGTAGAACTGACTATAGACTGCCCTTTCCATTCCCTTGCAGAAGGGTGGGGAAGGAGGGAGGGAGGCTGCGGCACCTTGTGCTCTGGGCCAGCAAATGACCTCTGGGTGCTGTTATAGCAGGTGTAGGTTAAAGCATCTATTAAACTGCTTTAACTTATATGAGGGACCAAAGTAGCTCCTGACTGTCCCGAGATTAGTGAAGCACAAAATTGGCTTTAAGCAACTTCTGTACTGAGCACAACTTGGCTAGACTCGAGAACTGGCTCCTTGTCTGGATCATTATATACCTATTATTAAGTCAAAGTAATCGTGATCCATTTCTTCCTCACTGGCATGACTTCTCCAGGAATCTTAAACTCCAAAAAGGAAGAGCATTTTCTTCTGTAAAAAGAAGTATAGGTGAATTAATCTAATTTTCACTGTAATAATTTTCTGAGGGGGATTTATCCATTGCTGGACGTCTGCTTAGATTCAATCTGCTATTTCATCCTCTTCCAAATTGCTCCTGATCACTTCAAGCTGTGAGAAAACCAGACCATGAAATCAACCCTTGGCAATCTCTTCCAGTAGGTTACTATCCAGGAGACTAACCATATGTACCCACAATGCTCAGGGTCTGTAAGATTTGTTTTCTGTGGAAGAGAATCATTTGAATGTCTCCTGAAATTCTGGAGACATCAGACCAACCTGGGAAGATTTTAGGAATGTAAAGACTGCTTTTCAAAAGCAAGGCTTTGACAATGCACAAAATAAAGATTATGTAACCTGTTGTGCTATCCATGTGTTGGAAATAAGCACAATGGTGCTGCTGAAAGCTAATGCACTGTTGACATTGGTTCTCTATATTTGTTAATTGGGGGGAAAAAGAGTTCTTGTTATAATATGTAAAGTATTGTCATGGCATGACTTCTGGAGGATACTGTGGACAGAGCACTGGAGGAGGAGAGACATTTCTAAAACAGACTGCAGTAACCTTAGGGAAAATCCAGATAAATACTAGCTGATAGCTATTCGATTTAAAAAAAGAAAAAAAGTTTCGGCTTGTGTTTTTACTTGAAAAACTCCTCTTCTGATATTATGAAATTGTTTAGGGGCTAAGTATGTAAGTGCATGATGTGAAGGCATAAAGGGACATATGAACAATCTGTCCTTTGGCACAAGTTAAATATGTACCCAAATATTGTCTGAAAAATTGGTGTATTAATGCAGCAGACCATGAGCGCTGCTTAGCTCAAGGCACTAAGATTGAAAACCTCTTTATATTTCATTACCAACTTATATAAAAACAAAGTTAAAGGGGTATTCTTAACTGAGCATCTTCTAATTGATTAGAATCTAATTTATTCTAATTTTGAAAATGCTTTTTCTCATGTGTTTGAACCTGTGTGTGTGTTTTTTCTACATGGATGTGTTATAGAATAAGAATTGGTAGGCATGGTGTTAAGGTGAGATGATATTAAAGTTCCAGGGCATGGAGTCCCTGAGAGCTTTGCATTTTTCCTTTTTGAATTACTTAGAGCTGAGTGGAGGTATTCCACTTCACAGAGTATTTTGCTATTTCAAAATCTGATTTCATTCCAATTCAGAACAAATTCCCACAATTTTGAAATCCTCCATGGAATGAGATGGAACCATAGCCCTGGGGAATTCTGCCTGGCAAGCTGTTCCAAAGCCATGGAGTATATATGCTTGCATTAATCCTGGCATTTTCTAGTGCTGCTATTTACTCATTTTCAAGAGCATCAACTTCATCTAAAAGCAAATGAAAAGAAATAAAACAAAACAAACATAAATATATGAACTGAAATGTTCTCTGTATGAGTTGTGTATTTAGCACTCTGAGTGTCACATTTTTGTATGTCTGGTTTCATGGTTGAGCAACATTTCTTTTCATTAATGACATTTCATTTGGTTTTCAGTTATTTCTTGATTTCGTCTTGACATGGTAAACTAATGGAATGTATTAAAGACAACTTAAATTTTTACACACTGATTACACTCTTCAAAACAGAATGGGAAGAGAAAAATTATCTTGCAGAACTGAAGTTGACTCAAATGGATCTAATGTGACACTTGATTCAGATTTGCTCCTATTTTGTCAAGTACAGTTTTCCTTTTAATCTCTTAAAAACATCCAGCTTCATGTAGTTACTTTATTTTTTTCCATCAGTTTGCACAGCAAATAACTGGGATGCGGTTCTGTGAAGCAAGTGCCAAGGATAATTTTAATGTGGATGAAATATTTCTGAAACTTGTAGATGACATCCTGAAAAAGGTAATATGTATGTACTGTGGAGATGGGGACTATATTTAACTACTGCTGGTACCAGTATTTGTTCAGAGCACATAATGGCAAGTAAAATTTTGATTTAGTTTGGAGGGGCCAGCGTGCTGCTTGAGGACCAGCTGCTATCCTTCAGCTCTTCAGTAGCCGCTGAAAACCGCACTGCGGTTGAGATTTTTGTGTGTGCTTCTCTGCACGGTAACTTCATTTTAGACTAAAGTTCAGTAGCTGACTGTGCATTTGCCTGCTTCCATTTGTTGCCATACATTAATTGAGACTGAATTGGGGAATTGGCTTAGGACAAAGCAGAAATAAATGTTCATCCTTAAATTGAAATGAGAGATAAGAACTACAAAGAGCTGGGAAAACAAGTAGTTGGCAACTTACATGTCAACTAACGAGAGAGAAGCAGCCCTGGTATGTTTGCAGACCAAAGCTTCTGTCTTCAGCATAGTCCAGAGGCTAGAGCATCAGAGCAGAGAATAGAGACCCCGTCTTCTGTTCACTGCTGGCTTCAATATAGGAGAGTCTTTTAACCTCTTTTTGCCTTTGGTTCCCTATCTATACAATGGCTATAACAGTTATCCACCTTCAGAAAGGGCTGTGCGGTCCTGGCTGAGCAGTGTTATGTAAGTGAGTATTAGTATCCGTGTAAATCATGGTGAGCTGTATTTCAGAAAATTATGGTCACCTTGGTAGAAATGTTACTTTTTTGTATTTTCAGATGCTGTCAAACTATGCAAGTGTTTAGTCTTTCTCTATGGGAGATAGCCTCATTTGTATTAAACTATTCTTAAAGTCTGAACCACTTCATTAACATTAGAAGGCAACAACTTCATTTTATGTATATTACTTATTAGTGTACCTCTTTAAACTACAAGATTATTTGTGATCTTGAATCTTATCGATACAATCTGTCATACACACTTCCTTATAGGTGGTCTACAATACTACCTAGCACTTCTAAAAGAGCTATAGAAAAATTAATCCATACCCCAAGAGGTAGGCAAGTATTATCCCCATTTTACAGATATGGAAACTGGGACACAGGGAAGACTTAATGATTTGTCCAAGGCCACTTAAATTGAGGAAAAGTTAGGAATTCTGCATATTTAATTTGATCTCCCAGCATTATGTTTAATTCAATAAATTGTACATGCTTCACATAGATAAAGCTTCTGGAATATTAAAAACTTTTAAATACATTCTCTATTATTGACAAACTGGCTATATGGAAACTTCTCCCCAAATTAAGTATATTTCCTTCATAACATATGAATTGTTCCATGCTTCTATTTGTCAACAGAGCAATACTGTTTTTTTAACACTGATTTGTAACTTTTTCTTTCTCTTTGAAAGTGGTTCTTGAAATACTTTGATGTTGGGGTCCTTACTATTTTAGCTGAGCATCAGTTCTGCAGCATTTCTTTTCAATTAAAATAAACTAGAGAGTTCAGTGCAGGTAATCATTTATAGACTTTATTTTTTTTTTTAAGATGCCTCTGGATATTATGAGGAATGAGTTGTCCAACAGTATATTGTCCCTGCAACCAGAGCCAGAAATCCCACCTGAACTGCCTCCGCCAAGACCACATGTCCGTTGCTGTTGACTTGTTGCTTCATACAGAGTGGAAAAGATGAGTGGGGGAGAGAAGAAGGTGTCTGCACTACAATCATTTGGCAGTTTCATGTTGCACTTTGTTTTTAAGTCAGAGCTACACACTAATTTGTAAATATGCAAATATGCAATCCTGTGTAAGATTCAGTTACAACAGTTAAATATTACCCCTCTTCCCCAAAATAGTATATTTCATTCATCACTGTAGTGCTATAAATATTGTACAGTATATGGGGAACTGCCACACTCCTAGTCTAGGAGGAGGAGAAATTAAATCTATACTTATTCTTGACATAAATATTGTAATAGTCCTTGTTATTATAAACAGGCAAGCAGAAGCTCTTCTTGTATGAAGATAAGTATATGGTGCTTTGCTAACTATTTTAAAGAGGAATTTTTTTAAAACTGAAAACTTTATGTACAAAGCTTCCATAACCTTCATTGTTTCTTTTAATATATACAGAAGATTTTTTTTTAGGGAGGGGGTGGAGCTGTAGCATCTTCAGCTGACTAGATCTACAGCAAATTTCTACTACGTGTAGTAGATCTACGTGTAATTTCCAGCAATCTGTCTTATTATTTATTATGTTTAATAGTAGACCATTACTTTGTGTATTAAGACATCACATTTGGTGCAATTCTAAGGGTGCAGTGTCAACTCACATAGTTAATTTTCTGCTTAAACATAAGGTAGGTTGCAAGAATCATTAAGATTGAGTAAAAAGTGGAGATGTGTATTGAATTCTAAAAGATGGTATGAAAAGCAATGCTGCTGTCCTAGACAAATTCTTTTAAAAAGGAATTTAATACTTTTTCTTGTGTTGAGGGAATATATATGTGTATTTGTCTGAACATCTAGGTGGGTGGGAGGGGTTTATGGAAAACTATTTTTTTCCCTAATGGTGGAAATTATTCCCATCAAGCATATACTGTGCTAGGTTTTTGTCTGATAATGACTTTGTGAACTATATCTTTGGTATATCTTTTATTACAATGCACTGTTTAGTTTAGTCGTGGTAAATCAGTAGTTACATATTCGAATAACTTGGTGTGTCCTGAATGTTGTGGTATTGAAAAGCATTGTGGTCTTTCTAAACTAATGAAATGCAAATAAAATTTTGTATTTATGAATGACAGTGGAGCTGCACCTGTTATTAGAATGGCAAATATACCTGATGGTGGATAAAAGGTAAAATCAGTGATATTGAACAATTTAAAAAAAAAAATCTTTATAAAGATCTGATTCTCAGTCTTGACATTTATTTTTCAAGATAGGAAAAACAAGGTGCATAAATAGCTTGCCTTGAATACTGCGCTATTGGGATGATCTAGTCAAATTGGCATCCTGTGATGGCATGTGACTGCTTTTCGTGACAACTTGGCAGGCAGTAGCAAAACTATTTGTGACCCATGGGGACACAAATGTAAACAAGTCTTCTGCAAAATATAGCTTATCACTATGTTTTTATTCTCTGGTGTCGGAAATATCTTACCAGTTTTGCCATTGTTCCACCCTGAACATTTACACAGATATCATAATGTATACCACGGACTTCTCCAGTTTGTCATGAGTTTTCTGGAAGGAACAAAGCATTCAGAATAATTCGTGGTAATTTATACTTTGCCCAATAGATATTAGAGGTGTTGGGCTGCTGAATAAGTTATTATATTCTGCACACAATACTGTGCAGGGAACACATCTTTGGCACATACAGTTTCAACTAACAAACTAAGGAAGCCTGGTTGAAAATTGTACTTATGTCTTCTGCCACCTTGTGCCTAAATGGTTAGCTGTTTTTACATAGTGAACTTGTGGTTTACTCTAATACTAACAGATGAAATCCACCACTTTCTATAGCATTTGTAGGATTTCTGATGGTACTGTGGGCAATAGCAAGGAAGAGAAAGTTATGGAAAAATAAGTTTTAACGACAATTATTTCAGCTGACTTGTTTTTACGTGTATTTAGAAATTTGTTGTGAATTTTTTCTGCAATTTTTGAATTTAATAAAAATTAAGAAAACTGACATAGATAAACTTTTTTTTAATCTTGTAATTATGTGCTATTGTTTCTTTATGTAATGGAGGCATTTGAATACAGGACTGTCCCAGTTGTGACCTTTGAGGGTAACTGTAATAAGAACTTTTATTTATTAATTGAAAATGTTTCCTGAGCCTTTGACTCTGATTTTAAACTGTCTGCATTAACCTGATTGTTACAGGGAGGACAGAAAGGACACTGCCTCCTACCGCTTCCTCTGTAGCTTTAGGAACACTTCTGTGAGTCAGGAGCCCTCTAAGCCAGCATTTTTCAAAGTTCGGATTGTGACCCAGTACTGGGTCGCTCTGGTCAGCACCGCTGACTGGGACGTTAAAAGTCCCGTTCGCAGTGCTGCCCAGCTAAGGTAGGCTAGTGCCTACCTGTTTCGACACCACACTGCGCCCTGGAAGCAGCCAGCAGTGGGTCTGGCTTCTAGGTGCGGGGCCATCGGGTTCCATGTGCTGCCCCTGCTCCGAGCACCAGCTCTGCACTGGGGGAGGGGGGGTGCAATGCCTATGGGCGAGAGTCGCATGAAGCCGCTTGCATGCCTCCGCCTAGGAGCCGGACCTGCCACTGGCTGCTTCCGGGGCACAGTGCTGTACGCAGTGCCAAGACAGGCAGGAAGCCTACCGCGGCATCCCAGCTGTGCCGCTGACCAGGAGCCACCGGAGGTAAGTCTGTGCCCCAATCCCCTGCCCCAGCCCTGAGCCCCCCCAAACCTGGAATCCCTTCCTTCACCCCAAATCCCTCATCCTCGGCCCCAACCCCAGAGCCTGCACCCAGAGCCCTGACCCCCTCCTGCACCCTAACCTCCTACCCCAGCCCAGAGCCCGCTCCCACACCCTGAAATCATCATTCCCAGCCCCACCCCTGCAGCCAAAACCCCTCATCCGCAGCTCTGTTGGGTCGCAGGAATCAACAATTTTCTTCAACTGGGTCCCCAGAAAAAAAGTTTGAAAACCACTACTCTAAGCAGCTGCTGTCCCTTCCCTGCTCTAGCTTCTTAGTAGATCCTCTGCTGGCTGGCTGTTGCACTGGACAGGAGGGAGAACAGAATTGATGGGAACTTAACTGGTTCTGCGTAAGCCTAGCTGAGCACCTAAAGGAGCAAGTCCTTTCTTCCGCTACACAACTACCTGGGTATCCTGAATGGAGGAGGGGGAAGAGAAGCTGGGAACCAGCTACATGTCCCTGATTCTCTCCTTCAGACCCCTTGCTGGTTAGAGCAGCTTTAATTTGCGTCAGCTGATTCATTTCTCAAGGAACCATGCACCAGCCTTGACTAATTGGGGTCAAGGCACATGTTGCCATTTCTGCTCCCCTCAGACACCTCTCCACCCCAGTATATTCTCTGCACCAGGTGCTGCAGGGAGGGAGGCAAGGGAGCCAGTTATGCTAGGTCCTTTGGCCACTGGGGATTCGTCCATGCTGGAGGAATCAACTAGTACAAAGGCAGCAGAAACCCACCCATGAGGGCCACAAAAGAGGGCAGAGAATCTGCCCCAAAATAATTATGGCCCCTTGACCTCTTTGTAATAATGGGTTAAATCTTGGGCCAATTGAAATAAATGGGGCTTTTGCTACCAACTTCAGTGGAGCTAGGATTTTGCCCAACATGTTCTACCTTCAGACTGAATCGAATGCTCCTGTTCTAATAGCATTGTAAATCTCACTCTGTGATAACTGAAAAACATGTTCTGAGATAGACGCAACATTTCATTGCATTTACTATAATGGACTTACAAATTAGTTGCCTAGTAGGTGGTACTCAGCCTCTGGCTTATTAATACATAATTTCTTTATATCTAGATGGGAGGAGAGTCCTGAATCTGGAAAGGTGGTCCTGAAATTTTTGTTGAAGCAAGGGTCATGGTATGGAAAAGTTTCTGAATCACTGGCCTATCAGATCTCTAGTGACAATCACAGCTATGCTGTATAGGCATAGACTCTGTTCTATTAAGAGCATAAGAGTGGCCATACTGGGTCAGACCAAAGGTCCATCTAGCCCAGTATCCTGTCTTCTGACAGTGGCTAATGCCAGGTGCCCCAGAGGGAATGAACAGAACAGGTAACCATCAAGTGATCCATCCCCTGTCGCCCATTTCCAGCTTCTGTCAAACAGGCTAGGGACACCATCCCTGCCTATCCTGGCTAATAGCCATTGATGGACCTATCCTCCATGAATTTATCTAGTTATTTTTTTTAACCCTGTTATACTCTTGGTATTCACAACATTGGTTAATCTATTGGAGTTCTGCTGGAGGAATAGAATGACAATTGCTCCAATAAGACTTCAGTAACAGTTAACATGGCAATATGCAGTGTAGATATAGTTGTCGGTTCCAGGATATTAGAGAGAAAAGGTGGTTGAGGTAATACCTTTTATTGGACCAACTTCCGTTGGTGAGAGAGACAAACTTTTGAGCCACACAGAGCTCTTTTTCAGGTCTGGGAAAGGAACTCTCCCAGCATCACACTAAAATTGTTTATCACAGTGGTTTTCAACGTTTATCATTTGTGGACCCCTAAACATTTTTGAAGGAAGGTTTGGACCCCTTTGGAAATCTTAGAGGTCCACGGACCACAGGTTGAAAACCACTGTTCTATGGTAATGACAGCCTTTCATGGACCCCTTAGACCAGTGATACCCATTGGTTCAGGAGCCAAATTCATGATCAACATTACCCTAAAGAGCCACAGTATGTGAATTCATTGTTTAATATATTCTCCCAGCAAAATGGCTGACCCTGTATTAATATTTTATCAGCTACAATTGGTTAATCTAGTAACAGTATCCTGATTGTTCAATAACTTAGACTCGTTAATAATTAAATCACACGGTATTTTAATATGTGCTGCAAAGAGCCACAGAAGACACATTGAAGAGTCACTTGCAGCTCACGAGCCTCAGTCTGAGTATCACTGCCTTAATCCATACCTACACTACTACTTATGTCGCTCAGGGGCATGAAAAAAAACACACACACACAGAGTGACATAAGTTTTGCTGGCGTAACTGATAGTGTGCACAGTGCTATATCAGTGGGAGAATTTCTCCCACCAACCTAGTTACTGCCGCTTATTGCGGGTGGTTTAATTGTCGATGAAAGAGCTCTCTCCCGTCAGCATAGAACAGCTACACAGGAGATCTTTCAGTGGCACATCTGCATCAGTACAGCTGTGCCACTGTAAGCTCTCTAGTGTAGACAAAGCCTTAGAGTCTGCGGACCAGAGACTGAAAACCACCAGTTTAGTGTAAGTAGTTAGCACATATTGTAAGGGACCATTCCAGGTAGGCCTGTTAACACATGTAATCATAGGACAGAAAAAAGGGGTTGTTAGTGCGTTACAAATTGTTGTAATAAGCCATAAATCCAGTGTCTCTATTCGGTCCATGGATTTTTGGTGTATAGCAGAGTAATGAATTTAAACTCCTCTCCAGTCACAGGACAAAAAGAGGTGTTAACAGGCTACTCTACCTTGAATGGTTTCAGAGTAACAGCCGTGTTAGTCTGTATTCGCAAAAAGAAAAGGAGTACTTGTGGCACCTTAGAGACTAACCAATTTATTTGAGCATAAGCTTTTGTGAGCTACAGCTCACTGCATCGGATGTGCACAGTATGCATCCGATGAAGTGAGCTGTAGCTCACGAAAGCTTATGCTCAGATAAATTGGTTAGTCTCTAAGGTGCCACAAGTACTCCTTTTCTTTCTACCTTGAATGGTCCCTTACAATATGTGCTAACTACTTAGGCTAAACAGTCTGTTCCACCTTGCATTTTGTTGTGATACTGGGAGTTCCTTTCCCGGACCTGAAGAAGAGCTCTGGCTGGCTGGAAAGCTGCTCTCTCACCAACAAACATTGGTCCAGTAAAAGATACGTTGTCACCCACCTTGTCTCCTTAACATGGCAATAAGTAGTTCCCAGAGGTAGGCAAAGCGTTTGATCTTTACCTTCAGTAAATCAATTCCCAGTCTCACCTAATCAAACATGAAAGAAGGATGAGTTGATTTTAACTGGTGGTATTTCCTCCCTAAATACACAGATGTGGGTGTGGGGAAGTTAATGTGGAGCATATCTGCACCTCCTCTCTCT